TACATCGTGTTTGATTCTTCGCTAATCTGAGCCTCTCGTCTCAAGCCGAGATCCATTTGATTCGCGACTTATTGCATTGAGTTGCCGTTCTTTTCCGCTCTCTTTCTCTCTATCTCTCTCTCTCTCTCACTCGCAATCTCTACCATCCCCGTTTCGCATTTTGCGCTCCGTCTTCTCTTTCCGCCACCCCCTTTCCGTCGCCCTCGCGAATATAACGCCTGCTGTGGAATTCTCCGGAGCGTGAAACTTTCGGATCGCGTACCCGGCCGTAAGTCGTCGGCTTTCATAAACGCCGCCGGCCGGCCGACCGATCGCGTTATTCGTATTCGAGTACCATTCGAAAGTCCGGACGAAACCCGTTTAAAGTCTGCAAAGTTTCCGCGGTCGCGATGATTTCGAAAGTTTTTACTCGCCGACTTCCTTTCATCGCCTCCTTGACTTCAACCGTCGTCGTTGTCCTACGTCCAGCTGCCTGAACTGTCAGCGAGGTGCGACCGCGGACTGTCGAAACTTTCGCGATCTCACAGAGAAAGAGTCTCTCTTTCCCTTTCTCGTGTGCCCCTCCGGGATTTCCTCTCGCATGGGAGATGTTACTTTCGGATCGCAACACGAAAAACACGACCGACGGATTTCCGATCTGATTTTCGCTGCCGTGAGGTGTGAAGAATCGTTCGTGCTGCTTAAAGCCAATCGTGCGCGAACAATTAGAAAAATTAAATAAACCGTCGTTTGTTCTTCGATATTTGTATTTTTGTTGATGCGCGATCGCGACATAATCTGGCGTGGGGTGACGGAAGTGAAGGGTACCTGCACATCGACGCGAAAAAAACAAGATATCGTAAGATAGACTGGATCGTTTGCGAGGCTCACTGACAGAACGCGGTGCGAAACCTGTCTCGATGCACAATGACTCGAGTGCGTATCATTAAAAAGAAAATAAGTGGATATTTATATATAAAAAACTTTTACAAGTCCATTTATAAAATTAATATTATAACATTTATAAACATTTGACTTTTTAAATCAATAATTCTTCATAAATTCAATTTTTTCTGGGAATTTGTAATAGCAATTAAATTTGATTTGACAAAATTATCGCGAAGTCAATCAAGTAAAATTATTACCCTCTAGAAGCGGCATTGTTTCGTCATTAAAAAAAATTTTTTACTAAAATATTAAGAATTAAATCAAATTTTTCACATTCATATGCAAATAAAATTTTTAATAAATATTCGTGCAAGTTTATTTGAATCCATTTACTAGTTAAAAAATTATTTACCTAAAACTGCAACGAAATATGGAAATTGCGCTGCATAAGCCATTAAAAGCCAAATCATTTGTTGTTTTGTTTTCTGTAGTTTAAGACAGATTTACGATAAAATTTTCTGATTAATATTGACTTTTTTGGTTGATACTTTTAACTGCGATATTGTATAATCAAAACATCCTTAAGTGTATAATTACAAATCTATAAAGATCCCGAATTCAAAAATAAATGTTAACGCAAACATTCGCTTCTAGAGGGTTGAACGAAATGTTTACCACTACATGTAACGTAGGAGAATCGTAGAAACCAAATCGTGTGAGCTAATGTTTACACGCACTGAGGCACTATGCTGTAGTTCGATTTTTCAAACGGCATCCCTTCCGTTACTTCGGTCGTCCCCATCTTCTTCGTATCATTTTCTCTTTAACAATAGCAGGTACTAGCATAGCTACCACAGTCGTACGTATCGTTATAATAGTTACAATTAAGTTTAGATATTACTAAAGGGTTCTGTTCTTCATCAGCGTCTTCTCAACGTCTACTTTAGTAGTTAGTTCCACGGTTAAAACTTGTTTCGTATCCCCTTGACCCGTCCGGAGACCATCATTCCGCCAACCAAACCTCGAGTGTTCGAGCCGATACAAACTTGACTAAATTTTCAACTGTAATTTCTCTTTGGATCGAGATACCATATATAAAAACGATTTTTCAGCTTTTTCCTGAAATTCACGACTAACGAGATCGTAAGTTTCGGCGCATAAGTGAGACGCAAGTTCGTTATTTACAATATTTATTTTTAAGTACGATCTCAGATTTGAAGCGGATCTCACAAATCGCGAACTCGCCTCGTCCTCGCACCGAATCTTTCGACTTGGACGTGTTCTGGGAAGGTTGTCCAGCGTCGATTCACTTTGACAGCCCCAACCGAGTACGAGGATAATTTACAAAAAGGCCTATACAAAAGTCCGTAAGAAAGAACGACTAAACATGTGTACTTAGAAATTACGCGTCAGACATTTACACGGTTATATTGACGCGCTATCGAGAAAGTCGTAGAAATTAGTGTCTAAGGACAGGACGCGCAGACATGGCTTGATCGGTAAAAGTGAATCGACACCGGTGTGGTCTCCGGATTCTCCTCGGGTCAATCTGTATCCTTGCAGTTTGTCCCACGGCCACAGGATTAACACTTTTGAATACTTTTAGCACCTAGTGCCCGCGGCCCGCGGCTCGCGGCACCTCCACCGCCGTTACTGTTCGTGCAATAGTCGCGGGCTACTCGTCGGCGAGGCTCGACCGCCACGTTCAATTTGCGAAGATCAAATACAGGTTTCTATCGATAAGATAGAATAAATATCGGAAGATGATTTAAAATTTAAAGTAAAATTTCCAGTATCAAATTTCATACTTGATACAAATTCTCAAGGATCGACGTAATTATTATCTCGAAAATTACAAGTCATTGTATAATTATCGAATTAATTCGAGTACAGGAATTAATTCGTTACAACACCGCGTGCAGCTGATATTCGAAGACTAATCGGAACGAGACTTGAAGTTACAACACGGATGAAATATAAGGAGCGTGTTCATTTTAAAACGCGACCCATAATCATCTTCTTTCGTAGGCAATTTTTGAGAAAGGAAGACGGTATTTGACTGACGAAAAAGTGGAATTTTCGTTGTAAAGCGTTATCTCGATAATCATTTGCTTTATGTACTAAAAGTTTATAGTGGCGTAACATTACGAAGCGAAGCTTCGGTTGCGTTTTATGATGGACACCCTACGACAGTTTAGGTCAATCGTGCCGACTAAAGTTAAATTGTAAAAAGTAAGCCTCTTAGAAAATTATTAAAGCATCGTTCGTTTTAAACTCCGGAAGATAAAATAGCTTCGTAAAAATTTAATTGTAGTCTTAATCATGCATTGAAATATCTTAGGGTCGATTTTTGCAACCGGACGAGCCGCCTCGCCGACAAGGACAATAACGCGCGGCCTTTTAATTACGTAATCACCTAATTAACCTCGTGAACGCTAAGCGACAACGTTGCTCTCCCTCGGAACTATCCCGCCCGCCGTTCATCCTGCTTCTGATTGACTCTCATTATCTTTGTACTAGTCTCTTTTTCTTAACATCGTAAAACTTTGCACACAATTCTGCTTGATTGAGAAAAGATACTATCAAAAGGGATTGATTACGCTACAAGTCATCATTAAGTCCCTAATTATTCTAATCAGTGTTCTCACATTCAAAGTAATTTATCTTAATTAATCGACAAAAAGATCTTTATTCACTCGGACCTGTTCTTGTTTACGAATGATTCGCGAGCAGTGCCCGCGGCAATCGGAAAATAATTAGAAAGAATTTCCGGGTTCAAAGTTTAAACGCATAGCGGCGGGGAAGCGCACTGCCGAGGTTTAACGATTCGAAGAGGTTCTCCCCCGACAGCTCGGAGGGTCATCGACTCCGGATGTCAAATCGAAAGGCAATATCTCGAAAGGAAATCGATTCCCGATGGTTTTTCTGCAACGGACGGGCGGGCGGGGACCAACTTGCAGGCGCAGCCGAGCAAATATCCAGGGGCCTGTGCAACGAGGCCACTTACGTCCCTCGCGAACACACCGGCTGGCTCTTTTTCTATCTCGCCTTCTCTACTTCTCCTCTTCCTTCCCTTGCATATCACTCGCTGCACTCTCTCTCTCTCTCTCTCT